TCGAAACTGTTAAATGTAACCGTCTCGTCTCTTCCAACAGCTTCTTCTCTCGCACTTCTCACCTGTGGAATTTTCTTCCTCTTACTTGCTTCCCTGATAACTATAATCTTCAAAAATTTAAATGTAATGTACCCCCGCCCCGTAACGGCATTCACCCGAGGTGGGTTGAGCCGGCTCCAATATTGGAGTTTCATGGGAATTTGGAATTCGCAAGCGGTCCCCAAGCCCGCATGTATAGCACATGAGATTTGATTATAGTGGCGAAGGTTTCGTGCAGGACCATCCACACTTTTTGAAGGACCGATTACAGAGACCTGGTGCACTACGTGCCACAAAGTCCCTCAAACGACTCTCCGCAGGTTTTGAATTCAGAGTTGTCCTTCTCCTAGACCAGTTGCCATCCAAGGCTATAGAACCCAGTCTGTCCTGGTATTTACCCATAGCTAGAGGGAGAATAAGAGGTTCACACCTTTCCCAAGGGTATTAGCATGTAAGTGAATGTAATAGATTCGACTGGAATTCGAACTCGGCTCTCTGATTCCTCAATCCAAGCCGCTGTCCATTACTCCACCGTGCCTCTTAAATGTAATGTCAATCGACATTGTCTGGTGCCTTGATCCTTGATCTTCGTTTTATCTTTTTTGTACCTCCCTACACCCGGTCTTTTCTTATACTTTCACTCTCTATAACCTCTTACGTAGTAGTGGCACCCCCGCCTTGCTTGGGGCGAAATTCTCATAAATAACAAAAAAAAACTGAAGCTTTGTACACTATTGATGATATTGATATACGTGAAAAGGCTTCACTAGTCTCGAGAGCACATTGCACGACACAGGATTCAAAAGTCCAAGCAATAAAAGGTTGACTTGCAGCAGAAGTTCATCATAGTTTCTAAAAAACGTTTTTGGTTTCTTTTTTCCATTTCTGTCTTTGAAGCCGCTTCTAGTAACCGTACATATAATTGTTGAGCTGTTTAACTGCTTTTTTTTTTGCTTGCACTTTTCTTTGTGCATCAGCTTTATAAATTTCGTGATTCCAATGAAGATCTTAAGATGTCTACTGGTGCAAAACGAGAAACCATAAATAAGAAATAATAAGTAGAATTAAACGAAACGAAACGAAAGTAAGAGCAGGCGATATGACATGTACATAGTTGCGCTGAGGGCATTTGAAAAGGAAAACTGAATACATAAAAATGACAGGGTTGCATTTTTGTTGGCTACCTATTCATGAATGTCACTATTCAGATACTGTAAATGAAATCGGAATGATAACATTTGAAGTGCTAAAATTCTATATTCAACCAGAAATCAACAGGTTTTCTTTTATAATATAGTTTTAAACTAGCTTAAATGCAGCACTCCGTAGCATCTTTGGCTCTGAATAAGGGAATTGCAAAACAGCTATTGTAGCTTCTGGTGTGCTGTATGACGTGTTTTGATTCAGCTGAGTTACTGTTGTAGAGTACGAAAAGTTTATCTTCCTCCGCATGAGTTCGAATCCCTCGTCGCCAAGTTGTTATAGAGTAGTTTCACAATGGAGGCTTGTATTTCACTAAGTCGGTCCTAAAATAGGTTCGACGTACAAAACGTTAGGAACTTGATATAATAGGTAATGACGCAGAGAAATCTAGTTGTGGTGGCTGATACTTTAATATCTGACTAACGGTCATCCAACATCGACTGACTGACCAACTCACCGAACGACTCAGTGACTGCTACTACTCCTACTTATTATAGGTGGGAGAGTCTATTAACAATAGAATAGGTGTGTTCCACTATAACAGTGACCATCACGGGACAATAAACCTAATGAGCCACATAACAAAACTCATCATCCGAATTCTGATGAATGGAGTGCGCAGCAGAATCAGATCGGAGATTGGACAAGAACAGTGCGGGTACACTGGGGCACGCAACACGATATTTATGCCCAGAATGTTATCAGAAAGAGCAATACAAATTCAGAAAGGCCTGTACCTGTGATTCATAGATTACACAAAAGCGTCCGATAAATTTGAAGTAAGACATGAAAACGATTTACTATCTTTCAAATATAAAAATATAGAAAAAAAAACAGTATATTTTCAAAGCACATATGCGAATAAAAAAATGGGATATAATAAAAAGAGATGACAAAAATAAGAGGAAGAAATTGCAATCTATATATGGAGGAAAAATTGAAAATCATTGAATTCAAGAACGACAATTGACTAATAATCAGAAGGAATAAGATTATTTCGAATTGTCGGCACGCTGACGCGTTTCATTCGAAACAAGCTTAAAGACCGTGTGGACTTTTAAACGAGCTAGTTCCTTCCTTGAATACTGAAAGTTGTTTTCCATCCTGGCAAGGTAGCATCTTTGACTTCGTCATTGCAAAACAGTTATTGTGATGTTACCGGATAAAGTGTTTTGATTCAGCTGAGTTCCCATCCAGAAGATATAGCAATAGTTCTGGAGTAACAGGTTGATCTTCCAGCTGTATTTTTTCCTTTGTTACAGCACAGCCCATCTGGTTAATCCTTGAATCTGGGAGCATTACAATGATTACACTGAATGATCATTGATCCAATAGTTATGTTTGGATGATTTGATTTTATATATATAGATTTATAGAGAAATAAAAAAAAAACTACATGATTTTCTCGGAATAACATATCACTTAAGGACGCCGGAAATTATGCTTCTCCACAGATTCCTTTTTATTCCTTATTTGTGAATTTCTATGATTTCTTTGGAAAATGGAACCATGTTCGTCTCTTACGCCACCTTTTTAAATTTAGAGCAGTCCTTCACCCAAACTGGCTGTCCAGACAAAGGCCAGAAATACCAACCTATCATGCTATTTAATCCATAGCTAAAGAGATGGAATCTTACTTTCCCAAAGGTACTTGGGAGAAACTGAACACAACATACTCGGTTAGCATTTGAATCCAGCTCCCCAATTCCATTTTTCACGCCGATAACCGTTACGCTACCAGCACATTCTGCCAGAACAACGAAACAATGTTATAAAAGCCACCGTGAAAATAATTGGTTATTTATAAAGGTCATAAAATATTAAATTTGGAATAAATAATAAGTTTTGTGGGTTCTTTTTTTCAAATTTGATTTTTAAATATACAAATTGAAAATCTCCATTAAGAAAGATATGCTAAGTTGTGCATTATATATAAGATATGTAAGACAGTAGATATAACTAATAAAAGCACATTTATTTGATGCCAGGGTTTATTTATTTTCAGTGTGTTTTTTAACATTTTTCTTTGGCTTTTTATCGACATCATTTCACTTGGTCTTTTTTTGTTGTTTTTTAATCGATATCACTCCATGCAAGGAAGTAAAGCCACTAAAACACAAGGAGTTACAGGGTGTAGAAGAATTAGGAACAGAAACATTAATGAGCAGAAAGAGAAAAGAGTAATCAGGTGGATAGTAGATAGCGATTGACATTGCATTGAAATGTTCGCAGCTTAAAGTTGACATGGAGCCGGAAGGGAGTTCCACAAGGGAGAAGTGCTAGAAAAGAAACTGTTAGCATAGAATATACGATTACATCTGGCCATCTCATCTGGGAATTGATGAGATATCGACGCCAGTCTAGTACTCGTCTCGTCTCTTTTTTTCGTTTATCCGAAAAATTACCATTGAAAGTATTTATGAAAAAGACACAGAGCGGCAACCCTACAATGGTAGGAAAGTGGCTGAAGCCGAGGTGCCAGATCAGAACCAATAATATTGCAGATTCTTCTTTTGATCTTATCAAGGAGTTCAAGGTAAATAACAGGGGCCTCAGACCATGTGATAGCAATATTCTCTAAGCATAGGCGAATTTATTTGTTTGTTGGTCTGCTAATCCAGTTTTACTCATTTATGTCTTTTAGTAGTGAAGTGCAATTTTCCTTGAAGATCTTTCTCACGTGTTAACACTGTATGCTTCATTTACTTATTCGTTGTCTCCCAATAGCAAAACTCTTGATCAAGTGGCGTACAAGTAACATTTTATGAGAATATTTTACACCTTATGGCCAATCTAGGACAATTTAATGTCAGTCATTAATCATTTCTCTTTTTGATATGGATTTTATATTATTTTTTATTATTTATTTTAAATTGTTAAACGATAATCTGGTCTTCTGAAACACCAAATTTTTATCCACTCATCTTGATTAACATGCTTATTTCTCCCGTCAAATTTCTCGGCCAGGATCAGGATATAGTTCCGCCGATAAACTTGAGGAAATATGAGATGGCTGTCCATAAATGTTCGAGGTGAAAAACTATCTGAAATTCCCAATGAATATTATTGCCAAAACAGTTAAAAATTTTGTGTTGAGGAAAAAGAAGTCAGTTGGAAACGTGACATGTGATATCTTAAGTTGAACTGTTATTTATAAATACTAGAATTTTTTTAAAACATTCTGACGCGTGTTAATATTGTGTAATTTACCGCTGACATTTCATATCCAGATTTACAAACTCTACGTTTCGTTCAATTTCGCATACCATTCAGTGAAATTTAAATAAGCTGATTTGTTTGAAAAAATGCCTTGACTAAAAACTTACCTCGCGATTTTTTTACACATCCTCGTAAAATCAGATGTACTTTGTACCCAACTTACCTGTTTGAACTTCTCCCCAAAAATATCGTTTCGATCGGTCAACGTATGGCTATTTTAGATAGTGTGACGGACTAACAGAAGTCACAGAATTTTATATATAGATTAAACGATTGATCTGTTTTCTACGGGTTATAAATCCATTGCAGGTTATTTAAAGCCAGAAAATGTTTTTAGATTGCAAGAATTATTTTGGTAAGAATAACAATGATTTGGTGATAAAACTGACGCATATCTGGAGGACAAAGTGGTGGATTCATGCCTTTTCCAAGGGTATTTGCACCTAAGTAAATATAAGGAATTTGACGAGAAATGGGACTCCACTCTCCAATTAACAATTCCGAGCCATTATCAATGACACCTTCCGTACATCTGAGGTTACTGCACCAGGTATTCCCAAGCAGTCACCCATCTAGGTACTAACCAGGCTCAATGTTGCTTAACTTCGGTGATCGTACATGAACATGGGGGTCAGGTCAACGTGATGTCGCCGTAAACTTACACATATAACATTTGATTTGAAATACATCTTCCTATATCAATAAATGCTTGTAAAAGAAAAACCAGTTTTTATCTATCTATTCCCATTCGAATGAATAACAATGTAACTAAAAAGTAAGAGTTCGTGACAGCTACCTAATAAGATAGTATCCATCTTCATAATAATAACATCTACACGATGTTGTATGGAATTTACAAGTTTTGTAGTGTCGTTGCGTGGATATATCGATTAGGGCAGAGTGTATGTGTGCTTATATCCGTGTTATATGTGTTTGGGGAGTATACATGGAATATAGTAAGGTTTGCTCATACATATTCAGTGGGGTTTAAGTATGGTGAATGCCTGATCAAATGGAGTACCTAGAACACAGCAGAGTACACTTGCAATAAGTTACATAACTAAGTATCAGGGACGATCGCATGCGTAAATGATGTGCAATAAAACCTTTCTATGCGATATGTATTAAAGCAGACTCCTATTTCACTATTGATCCTTGACAGCTCAAGCAGGAGACTAGATACCATTACTCCAGCTTGCACAATATCCTTCTGATAGACAGGAAATATAATACGGTTCCATGCGCAAACTCGACAGCCTGCTGTAAACTGAAAGAAATGTTATTCCTTTGACCGGACGATAAAACATTATTCTTTAACGGTTCAGTGGTGATATTCTCTGGGCTTAAGGAGATGCAATGACCAATGCTGTGGCGTGAATAATACTATTTTCTTTCTTGATCTTTGTTTACATAACTACAAGGAATGAGGTGTACGAGATGCATTAAAGAAGTTCTGAGACATATTTTGGACAAGCAAAACATAAACTATTGTAGTTTTAGTCTATAATTACTATATATATATCTAATAAATTGACAACTTTTTAATTCCAGATTGAAGATTGTAAAAGTGCTTTGAGCACTCTCTGCTACATATTGCGTGCCACAGCGGACAAGTTTGCAGAATGCAGTCAGGATGCAAAGACAATTTGGAGAGCTTGCTATGCAATGAAGTTTTGTGTTAGACTGAGAAAATACAAAAAAGGCATATGAAATGCGCCAGACTGCTTATGGATTAACTTGTAGGAGCCGAACATCTGATTTCCGTTGTCACAAGAGATTCAATGGTGGAGACGATGTGAGAGACGATGAGTGATGTTGGATGAAAACAATGTGGACGTGGACGTCAGAGCATCAGAGCCTTGTTCAGTCAGTTCACAATTATCTGGATGAAGAATGTCATGTGCTGTTAAAGTTCTTACTTTGAAATAGATTAGAGTTTTATACTTCTTTGAAATTAGTCTCTCCTGAAAAAATCTCGGAATTTCTGGAACGCACCCCGTACGCTATACAGTACGTTAATTGATCGATTGATCAGTGTTTGATTTGCATGCGATTTGAGGTGATATCCCTCTTAATCGAGTGGTTACCCTTATTGTCAGTAACCCATAGTCTTCTTCTCGCATCCTCTGTGTATTATTGCTGCTTTCAAGTATCGATGTCGATTGATCAGAATTAATATATTTCCGATATTTCTTTGCTACTTCAACCCAAGAAAAAAAAGCAGTTGACACGTCTTACAAAACGTGTCCCATTAAAACAAAACGGCCACAGTCAAGTTTAAATTCCTGTCTGCTTTTCAGGTACAATGGCGTCGCTGTTACACTACCTATTTACGTGTTACGTAACAGAAGTAGCAAATGAATATCAGATATACAGAGCAACCTCGATTCTCGAACGTCTCACCTGTTGAACAAATCGGTTTTCGAACAGAATATTCGAGATAAAATGTCTCGGTTATGAAACAAAATTTCGGTTTTCGAATAACATTGCTGAACCGAGCCGAACTGCGTTAACCCGAACGGAATCATTTCTGAGTCGACCGCCATGTTGTGTTGTGCTGTGTTTTTTTCTTTTTCCAATTTTATTGTACTGTGACTTTTTTTAAGAAAAAGTTAAATGAAAAACAATTGTTGATTGATATTGTCTCCTTGATAATGATATTTTCTCTTCTTACTCAGTTTCATATGGCAAACTCAACGATCTATACTATTCTTATAAATAAAGAGACGACCATGTCTTCTATTTTCCAAACAATAACATTTCTTTCCTTCCAATTACGCCATCAACTCTCCTACATGCAGGTACGCTAAAACTGAAGTATTCGTCTATATTTTATCCATTTGGTATTGGGTTTATTTATTTTCTTAGATTTAATGATTTTCATTAGTTTTATGTATTATATGATTTTCATTATTTTTTCGTATAAACTTATATACAAAGTACTGTTGTTAAAGTTTAAATAAGCAATTATCGGGCTACCAGATATGGATTAATCGATTTTACATTGATTCCTATTGGAAAATAGTTTCGGTTTACGAACATTTCGTGTTATGAACGGGCTTCAAGAACGAATGAAATCCCAAAACCGAGGTATATGAATTCTGGTCAATCTGGGCAGCGATAGTTGAAAGCCGCAAGAATATTCGCGTATCGCTGCCGATTGACCAGAATTCATATATTTCTGATATTCCTTTGCTATTCCTGCTCAAGAAAAAAACAGTGGCTACGTCTTAGATAAAGTACCACATTCAAACAAAAAGTCCACGGTTAAATTTAAATCTCCGTCCGCTTCCCATGGCTACAACAGCTACACTGCCACAGTTACTCTACCTCTTTACTTGTTACGTCACACCTGCAATATCCGTTTGGGCTCGTTTCTATAGGTGGAGGAGGGATAAAGTATCCAGTGTACGTTTTCTCTAATAGTTGTGCGTTTCCCTTTACCTTAGCTAATTCTTTGACCTTTCCGTTATGACACCGTTAACATATCACAGACACTTGCTTACAAAATATTTAATGTACTAGATGCGAAAAGAGAAAGTAAATAATAATCACTGATGTATCTGCAGGTACGCGTGTGTGCGAATACGTGTGTGTGTCTGTGTGAGATATCAGTTTCCCTGCAATAGGTTGTGTTTCGCCCGTTTTTCGAGATGTAAAATCTATTATCGTTCACTTGTGGAGCAACAGAAAACGTCAGAATGAAATAATGCTAAAAATTAACTGCTATGTAAATGTTACCCCGCGTTAAACATGACTAGCTTACATTTCATTTAAATGTGAGTCTTTCGCAGTTCTTAATTTTGCAAACACGTAACTTGCAAAGGATGTAGTGTGACGGTTAGTGGCGCCACAGCGGATTTGGTGATCTAAATTCAATTTCTGATCAAGTCTGTTGCATCCACTTTCAGGATAAAGCCCTTCGAAAACATATGATTCCCTCTCTCCTCTCTCAATTAACATGGCGAATTAAGCTCCCTAAACTTAATTTGCTGTCAGTGTGGAAGAAGGATAATTTTGAATTCAAAACCATGGTAATGGTAACGTCTCTCGTCATAGCAATTCGCAGATAATAAAAGGAATACACGGAGAGCCATGGACACCATTATCTCCTGAAGGAACATGGTATTTTTTTCCAAACAAAAAATACGTCTGATATCATAGATTTAAAAACAACGTATTTTCTAAAAACAAGTTATTTAATGCAAATAGTGAGTGTCATGCTTCAAAAGTATAATGATTTTACGTATCCTAATATATGCAACATGCAACAGTCAGAATACTACTGATACAAATCCCAAAAAATAAGAAAATATAGGTACCATTTGATTCTGTTGTAGATTAGCAACCTTCACAGTTTGGTAATTGCTCCCATTTATTTGTTGTTGTTTTTTAATTTCACCAAAAGCAAGGCGATAACGCCGCTATGATGCAAGGGGTTACTGAGAGTGAAAAAAAACGAAGAGGGAAAACTATAAGAATAACAGTGTTCAAGGAGACAGACTTGTAGAGCTCCTGCCCGGAAAACAAAAATCCGGAAGAGATTTCCACAAGTCAGAAGTGCGAGAGTAGAAAAAAGAAATTACAGTTACAACTAACGTTTTGAAATATGAAATTATGAGAGCTAGTAGAGTGCTTAAATTTGTGAAGTCGGGCTACCAAAGAGAACAATTAGCCACATGGCATGAAGCCACATCTAAAGTGTTATAGATTAACCTTTAATACTTTGAAGGCGGCTTCATTAGCTGAGTAAAATGTTTGTCCTACCATTGTAGGTGACTGATTGCTGAGTGATAATGTTTTTATTTTTCATATTCGTGTTGTCATGTTTTGCTATGGCAAAGAGGAACCCGGACGAGGCTTTGCCGCGGGGCAAAGTTTCGTCCGGGGAGGTAGACAGGCTCTGACCCGCTTATGCAGCTTCTAAGGGAATATATTTGGCCGAGCCTATGGGCTCGGAGAACTGACGGTAAACTCGGTAAACTTGTGCCACATTCACACCTCGTTGCTTTTAAATATTAACAGTCGACCAGCTTGTTCATCTGTCGAACTCTCTACCTTGGCCAGAGAGGAACCCGGACGAAGCTTCGCCGAAGGGCAAACTTTCGTCCGGCGAAGTAGACAGGCCCTGAATTCGTTTATGCGGCTTCTAAGGGAATATTTTTAGCTGAGCCTACGGGATCGGAAAACCCACGGTAAACTCGGCCTTGTGGCACATACATCACTCGTGGGGGGGTCTGTTAAATATTAACAGTCGACCATCTGGTCGACTGTTAATATTTAACAGGTCAAAGAATTAAGCTAAGGTAAAGGGAAACGCACAACTATTAGAGAAAACGTACACTGGATACTTCATCTGTTGAACTCTCGTCTAGGCGGGTTGTAAGGAAATATTTTTGGTCGAGCCTACGATCTCAGAGAACTCACGGTAAACTCGGCTTTGTGCCAAATACATCCCTCGTATGAAGGCGCGGGGTGGCTGTTAAATATTAACAGTCGACCAGACTGTTCGTAATTTCTCGTGGAACCCTGACGATGCTTTGCTGCAAGGAAAAGTTTCCTCCGGGGAGGTAGACAGTCCCTGAACACGTTTATGCGGCTTCCAAGGGAATATATTTGGCCGAGCCTATGGGC